GGGTGCTGCGAGCCTCGCCCGCCTGCCTGCAAGTACAGAGTAGTGAGTCGCAGCCCAAATAATCCTCCTCGTTGTTTGCGGAGGCATTGCTCTGGTATTTGCCTAGCGCGGATCGCCGCCGAGGAAAGCCGGGCGCTAACGCATTCCTGAGTGGCTTTTGTTGGTTTTCCTTCCTGAACTCATTTTCCGAAGTTTCACCCCCGAGTCGGCAGGGAAAGGCAGCATGTGAGAGCCTCGGCGCCCAGGCAAACCTCCCGCCGACTTCCCCGGGAGTTTGGGCTCCGTGCTGTGCGTGGAGCAATGTGCGTGCAGTGACGCTGATCTGAAGAGGATGTGGAACAGGTTGGATGGCTAGATCAGGGTCCTAAGGAATCTGAGGAGCGAAAAACCTTTCCCTTGGTGTACATGGGTAGACATCTTCCTCTCTCTCCACTCCCAAAATAACTTCACAAAAAGCATACTTCTGTTGCTAGGAATCAAAATATTCAGAGGTGGCACGTTTTTTAAAAAAACCAAAATCAAATACAACAAACAAATATGTCATGTATTTTGACAACTAGTATGTTCGTTTGCTGTCAACTCTCTGACAACTGGTTGATAAGAAATTTAATACAATTTTATTTCCTAACTATATATTTCAACTCCTGCAGCTCTTACAGGTAGGCTTGGAGGGACCTATTTGGATAAGATTATTTTTTGCGCTGGCAAGAATGTTATCAGATGAGAAATCGTGAGTGGGAGAGTAGAAGGAGGAATAGGTGGAAATTAAAATCCATATTGGCCTCCTATGTGCTTCTTCTCGATACCTGCAGGAAGAGATGCTGCAGCTAAAACTGGATTTTTGTCAAAAACCTGTGAATTTATTAAAAATTCCTGATCTGTATTTCTTCATTTCAGTTGATCTTGATGGAGGGATTATACTTGGGCGGTGTGGAGAATTAAAACTCAGGCTGAGCACTTGTACTGTGTATTAATTTTCCTACATCATTAATTTGTATGGGAACTGGAAACCATAAAGGGTCTCTAACAACACTTCTTTGTTTAATTTGTGGCTAACTCTTTCAGCAGGGCGGTCTGAGGAAAGCTGAGTAGATTGCTTTTCCATGAAGGCACCTGTAATGAAAGTGTCTGTCAATTTGTGCATGTGTTCAGTAGCCTGGCTACATCAGTTTTCTGTAACACAGGGAGCGCTGCTATGAAGCTTTCATGTTTTATTCCAATATTGTGAGTGGTGAAAGGGAGGATGCTTTCTGGCATGCACTGGGACATGTAATTTGTGTTACAGATGAGTTAAGTAATGCGAGGTTAGATCATCCTCACCCAAGGTGATTAAATCCTTAGCCCAGCAAATGAGCTGTAGCAACTAAACTAAAATTATCACCTTACCAGTTTTCCAATGCTCTCTGTGAATTTGCTAGATTAATAACAGCAGATAGAAAGGCAAAAGAGTGAGAGTAGGAAACCAGCTGTTAATGGGCTGGGGGATCTCCTTAAGGAAAGGAATAAAGTCCTTCTGCCTGTGTGCTGGGATTGCTCCCAGACCACTGGTGCTCTGGCGGGTACTGGCTGCCAGCGGCAGAGTGCCATCTGGTCCCACAGTGCTGGCTCCCCCTTCTTCCAGCTGTTACAAACATGCTGTGAGTCCTTCCGCTGTTGCTCTGCCCTGTGAGGTGGTGCCCTCATGGCTGTGGGAGGGTGGCATGTTGGCAAGAAGGGAAGTGGCACGTGAGAAATCTCTCTATTTGATCACTGGTCAGGCTGTAACAGAGTTCGAGAGCAACAGAGCTCTTCCTTAGCAGCGCTCTGGGTTTCACAACAGGCATTTTTCTGTCTGACTGTAGGCTAGCGAGGCATCCTGTGAGAAGCTGACCAGCTGGTGAACTGGGTGAAGTTGTAATGTATTGTGATACATGGCCGTGCAAGAGCGGCAGAGTGATGGAGTCATTTGTTTTTGAACAACGTGGAGGCCACTGCCAGGGCATAATATTGAACTAGGTTAGACCTGTTCTGGTCTGTTGGTCCTGTGCTGTTGCATAAGAAATGGCCACTCTCCCTAACAAAACTAGCTTTACATTTATTTCCCACCTTCTTGCTTTCCCACGGTCTCCTTTGATCCTCTGGTTCCTCCTCTATGTGCCTTTCTTTCTTAAATGTGCTTATATAGTTGGCTTCCATGTTTTCTCATGGTAACACATTCTATATATTCACTTCTGCTTGAGGGAAACACTCCCCATCCACCCACACATGTAACAGTGCTCTGGGCCAAATTCTGACATTTCTGTGTCAATGTAAACCTGAGCAGCTCCACCGACTCTGGCTCTGCTGCTTTGGGGTCGCAACTAAATAGCTCCGAGTATAACGTGGTCCTTTGGCTGGACTGAAGGTTCAGGGAGGCTCGTTTGAGCACACGCCCACATCACGCGACAGAAATATCTGTTCTGTAAACAGTTCTCCTCCTTGGTGAGGTATGCTGTGGAATAGGCTTTGCTTTCACGGGTTTTGCAAATTGCAGAGAAGCTTTCTGTAATGCAGAGGAACAGTGTACGCTGAATAACGAGACATAATTGATTCTTTCTCGTATCCCAGCTCTTTACAAATGCATACAATGGAGCAAGCATGATGATTTCTTAGCAGCACAGGAACACTGTAGCTGAAATTCAAGCCTGGGGAAAAGAGGGAGGTGTGGTACCATGTTGAGCGAACGCACTTAGTACTGCTGGATCACTGACACGACGAAGCTCCCAGCGTTTCTGTCTGGCTCTGCCTGGGCACTGCTCTGCAGAAGCTCACTCTGCTGTTACATGAGTTGAAAAAAGCACCGCGTACGGACTGAGCCACCACTTTTCTCCAGCAATTGTGCTTTCAGTGCTTGCCTTTGACTATTGCTTAGCAGACATAGTAGAGCAGTGCCGAGACTAACAGACTCCTCTGCAGTGTGTAGTGGTAGGGTATGTAATTCCAGACCACCAACCTAGAGTAATTTGCTGTACTCCAACCCCCCTTCTTCTGGGGGTGGGGCGGAGTAGTATTTTTTTTTTAGGTATGAAATTTACAGGATCTCCAATCAAATTAAAGGTGTCCCAGGGTCAACCCGTCAAACTAAATTGCAGCCTCGAGGGAATGGAAGATCCCGAGATGTTGTGGATCAAGGACGGAGCAGTGGTGCAAAGCGTAGACCAGGTGTACATTCCAGTAGATGAAGAACACTGGATCGGCTTCCTCAGGTACAACAGATGCAGAGAAGGAAGAATATCGCGGAAACTATTACAGAGTTTTCTGCTGTCAGCTATATCTGTGCAACTGCAGTGCCTTCGGCGGGGAAAGGTCCTTAGGTCTGCAGTTCAGCGCGTGGCAAGGGCATAACTGAGAGCAGAATTGAAGGCACTGAGGGCTGAGATTTCATGCAGTAGAACCATATTGGTTTCCTGACTACTGTGGTGACAGGTGCTTTGCTAATGCTTGTGATGCTTGAGACGTGACTTCAAGGTGAAAGGATGTTCTTGCCTTGTTTGTTCATCTTGTTCTGCTGTGCAGCAGGAAGACTGAGGTCTGACTTACGTAAATAGGTTTTCTCTCTCATACTCATTCTGTTCTCTTACTCTCTCTTGAGCTGTCAGTCTGCCTAAAGGGTGAGGATTGTTAATTGAAATGAGACTCCCAGGACTACATCCCCTTCCTTTCTTTGGGGAGGAGTGTTTGTCACCCGAACCATCCCTGAGTCATTTTGCAGAGACTTTCATAATACATTTACACTACATGATATCAGTTCTGCCCCGCTCAGAGGTGCAAAAACTCTCTTCTGCAAAGCAGCTCTCTGTGGCTTTATTTCAGCAGAAGGGGGCTGTCAGCTAGTTCTGGAAGTGCCGAGTTAAACAAGACCCAAGGTTCTGCTCTGGCTTTTTCTACGCATAAAGAGAGCTTGTACAAGCAAGCGTGCCATCACCGTGAAGGCTCAAAACTGTTGACTGACTGAGAATCACTCTTCCCTGAGCTCCAGCTTCATCTCCTGTTAGGTTTCTTGGATTGACATTGCACGGAGTCTCCAATTCCAGCAGCTAAAAGTCTCTGTGCTAAAGCTCATCTATAATAAAAGTTTTGATAGGAAAGAAATCTGTTCCAGGTAAAACTATTGCATAACATCATGTTGTGGAAACAGTTGTCTTGAAACGATACTGTTTACTTCCCCCCAGTTCTCCTAGTTAACTCTCTTTGCCCCACAGTCTCTCAGTCTGATCTCCTTTCTCACCTCGTTTTCCTCCACTGAGAACTTTCTGCAGCACCAGGGCTAAGTATAGGGTGCTAAATCTAGATGTGTCCGTATCTTTTTTTTCTCCTTTTTCCTTTCTTCTCCTAAAGTGATCATTTCTACCACCCACTGTGTGACTCTCTGCTGCGATCGCTGTGTTTCAGAACATGCGGCTGGATGGGCAGGACAGCTGATGCCATTTGAAGGTACAGCTCTGAAAATCAGGCTCTGGGTCCATTTTGTGCATTTCAGCAAACACTCTCCCTTTTCTGTCTTCCTTCCTGAGATGTTCTTCCCCTTCCCCAAGGTGGACTGCTAGCGTTAGAAAGGTGGGCATCAGATCTGCTGAGGATCCCTGCATGGCAGCAGACGCATGGCTGCACATCCCACGAGGGGCAATCAACATTTGTACATTGACAGGCACTCAGAGTCACACTGGTCCCTTTGGTAGCTGAGACCTTGTCGCTTTGGGGCCAAATTCTGCCCTTACTCACCACGCTAGCCTTGTGTTGCTAATGGCAGTGAGGATCTCGCAGGTTTCCAGCAGTGGAGCAAGGAGCAGAATTTCTCCCCTGAACTGGAGGCCTACAACTTGAATGCTGCTCAGTCCCCGTGGCTGCCTTCCCCTGCTTGGATGCATCTTCTCAGAAGGGGAGCTGTTGCTGAGCAAGGGAGGACACAGAAGAGTTTGTAGGGTGAGGTCCTGTGCTGGAATAGGCCAGCATAACCCCTTGAAATCGCAAATCGAGAGGCCCAAGGAGTTTTGCAGCGTGAGGTGCTCTTGGGATAAGAATAACACTGAGTGCAGTTCAGGCGAGGGGGGGCCTTTTCTGACCCATCTTTTCCTGTATGAGGCTGTCACCAGTCCTGTCACCTAACTGGGGCAAAACAGTTGGGCTCATTGGAGGTTTGTGATTTGGAGCTTCCTGCTAGCTCAGACATTGTAGGCCAAGCTGTCGCTCTTGAAGGCTAGCTAGAGTCACAATTCAGGATCAAGATGACCAATGCCTTCCTATCCTCAAAGGACACAGATGACGAGTTTTTTGTGATGACGTTTTGGAGGAAGGCTGTCTGCTCTGCTGAGGATTACCTCCACCCACTTTAGAGAGGAGCCTCCCGTCTCCGCTGTTTTGCCACGCGCTTTGTGCTGGCTAGCTGTTGCCCTCCTCCCCAGACCTGGCTGCGTCTCAGTGGGTGTTGTCCCTGCATCTGGTTTGCCAAACACTGGAGGGTCCTTTGGGGCAAAAACATGCTTTATCCACGTAAAATATCGATATGGCTTTTGACTTTTTTCAGCTTGAAATCCGTCGAGCGGACAGATTCTGGGAAGTACTGGTGCCAGGTTGAGAACGGGGGGAAGAAGGAAGAATCACAGCAAGTGTGGCTCATAGTGGAAGGTAAGGAGTAGTAGTAGTGCTGGTTTCCTTTCAGGGCTGACCCACCAATATGCTTTAGGTGGAAGTGGTGAGAGCAGATTGCTCCAGTGGCAGGCTTCTTGGCTCTGAACCGTGGCTGCTAACTGCAGTAAGATCACTACAGAGCAGGAGTAAGAAATGGTAGGAGAGTAGCTTCAGGGACAGGAGCTGTCAGTTTATTACCTTCTGGTTTTATTTTGGCACATTAGGAAACAAGTGAAAGATCCTTTCATGCACACACATTTCTTTCCAGCCCCTCAATCAGTTGTTGCTTTGGTCTCCAAATAATTCGTAGAATGATGGGATGGTTCACGTTGAAAGGGATCCATTGGGATCATGTGGTCCAACCCAATTCTCAAAGCAGAATCACAGCCTGGTTCTGTGTATCAGCCAAACAGGTCTTTGAGGGCAAGGTATAGTTTTAGCCCAATTCTGAGTTTTGAGAGAAGTGCTTCGGTGCTTCATAGCTGACTGTTTTGCCCAGTCTTGTCTGATAAAGAATAACTTCTACATGGTTGCCCAAAAGTCACCCAAGACAGCATGGATTGGTGGCTTCTTACTGTCTCTAGTTTCATTTTCCTTGAGCCATGATTGTGTTAGATCCTCAGAAGCTAGTAGTCATAGGATGGCTTAATATTTGGTGAGGAAATTGACAGGAACAGTGCATTTGCAGCAAGAAGTGGCTTTTTGGATGTAATTGATAACATTTTGGGCCAGAGCTGAATTGACAGCCTTAAAGAGGGGTAGTGGGGAGGGTATCATGGGAGGTGGTGTGGTCTGGGTGTTTTACAGCAAAGGTCTCGCTCACTCAGAGCCATGGAAACATTCATAGCAGTCCTCACAGGAGGAGGAACGCTTACCTGCTGCCTTCCATAAATCCCAGGCTTTTGTCCACCTAAATTTTCAGGTGCAGTTTCAACTGGAGAACATTGTTTACAGCTTGAAACCCTGCACAATAGAGAGCATTTTTATTTCTATTCTAGTTACCACGGCCTGCTCCAGACGTGGCTGCATTTGCATGGCTGCATTAGGAGCGCTTGGGTAGCTCAGTGTGCTAAGCCATCTGAAAAACAAAGGAGCCCTTCTGGGTAGCACAGGCAAGAAATATCAAAGTCACAAAAACCAGCTGCAGCTAGGTAGGGGGGAATGTTGAGAATGAAGGCCAAAGCTTACAGTGGAAGCAGGAGCTAAACAAAAAATGCAACTAGTCAATTGCCTTTATGAGAAAAGCAAGTATGGCAGAAGCTAGTTAAACTTGAACTGAGTATGTAATCGTGTGAAATGGGAGTTAGTGGAGAAAAACTAAAAATAAGAAGTAGTGATAAGGGGTGGATTTTTAAAAATGTGTCAGCTGTTAGCATAAGAAAACACCAGGGAATGCAAAAGCCTATCAGACCCACCGTCACTGTTATCGCTGTATGTATTTCTTCCCTGGGTATACCAGCTTTGTCTAGAAGTGGTTGCTGTATTGATAACGACTGTGGTCCTCTTTGACTGAGAGAGGATCTTTACTGAAGGCTGCAAATAACCAGAGTAGGTGCTGACACCCTTCAGTGTGCCACACAAAACAAATGTGGACTACTAGTGATCTAACTTAAAGCGAGCTCAAACGGATTTCTATGCTGTCTAATATCTGCCTTGAGATTGACTTAGGTAGTCTGTATCAGGCAGAATTTGTAGCGATGGTATTTGAACTTTGTAATACAGCTAAAATGTTTGATCTTATGAAACACTCCTCAGAATTTATGAAAACAAAACTATTTTGAAACTGTTTTCTGGTTTAGAAACTAGACTCTGGCCTTATCGAGAATATGATAGCATTTGATGCCCAGAGAGGTAATCTAAGAGGCACCCTGCAGAGTGTGACCACCTGAAAAATACGGATTATGTTTCTTATAGAACTTTCCCTCTGAAATTACACCTCTGACCGTGTGGCTGTTCTGGGCTGCTAGCCCCTGTTGTGGGTACAGTCAGAGCCCCAGCCACTCCTATATGGACACATCCCCCTGAATTAACACTGTCTAAAAACTGAGCTGTAGGAAAAAAATTGGCCCTGTAGGTTGGATGCTGGCTTGGAACAGGGAATAGACCGGCTCATTTCCTTGCTTTGCCACTGATTTCCTGGTTGTTGGCTGCTCAGTGCCTCCACAGTGCATCTGTGAAAGAGGGGTGCTGGCACTCACCTCTTGTGCCAGGAACCGGGAGGCTAAATGTGTCTCAGACAGTGAGGTATCCAGGTAACATATGTACGGGGGCAGTGCAAGTTCCTGAGCTGGATGAGTCAGCTGCACTCCCTGAACTATGAGAGTTTTTAATTGTGGTCTTGTCTGATCTGGTTAGCTGCTCCCAAAGTGAGAAAACCTGCCAAGCTGGGCAGGATCCTCCTGAAAGGTTACCTCAGGTGCCATGGCAAAAGGACAGGAGGCAGGGATCCTGCTCACAGGTAGATGAAACGATGGTATTTTTCCTTTTAATCTTCCTTGGAGAAGGAGGGTAAAGCAGGTGGAGGTGTCACAGCTGGTATCTGGAAATTTTATTCGCTTTATTTTTTTATTGCGGTCATACATAAACAATAAAAGTAAAATGTAAGCAAAAACCAGCAGTAAATCATGATGATGGATATACCTCTCCTGAGCATTAGCCTTTGTACAGATAGGCATCGTCATTCCTGAAGTGACCTATTTTTAGACCTGTTTTAGTTTGTTCATTTACTTACCACTCCAAAGGGAGTGGCAAGGAGGTGAGGAAGGCACAAAGAAACTGCCATATGAAAGACACAAACAGCAATTGGATGGTCAGTGAAAGACCAAGGACACCACTTTCAGCTGGAGTGTAGGGGAAATGCCAAGCCTTAGGCTTCTAAATCCCTATTGAGGTACCTACATTAATTGCCTGCTGTTGGAGGTGCTCAGCATCTGTCACACCAACTGGAGCTGCTCAGGCCTGTCACCTTTGGCCGGGGACAGACAGTGTAATTTAAGCATGTGAAAGCACAGTGTTGTTGGTTCCTCTGTTTCTGTGAGGTGGCAGATCAGCAGTTTCCAGAACACACTTTTTCCAGCTGAGAATACCTAATTTTGGTGTAGATGCAGCTGTGCTTGACACCCAAGGTTTTGAGTATAAAAGGGAACTCAGCGTTTCTCTGGACCTTCAGCTCTTCCACCAGCCACCAGAAGTGCATGCCGGCTGTCCTGCAGGATCAGCACTGGTGCTGATGGCTGGTGAATTTTGTATTACTGGTTTGGAGCACTGAAACCACAAGAGTTTTGGCATTGCCCATAAGAGGCACCACATCTCTTGATGTATTGAGTTACGCTCAGCTATTGCCACTTAGAGATGACCTGAGGTAGTTAGCATTGCAGCTAAGTTTTGCTCCCTATGGACCTGATCTAAGGCCTGTTGTACCAAGCAGGAGTCTTCCCATGGTGGGGAACAGATAGTTATCAAGAGCGCTGTGTCCATGGATAGCCTTCAGCTCTGAAACAAATTACCGCTAACTCCAAGGCAGCCTGGTTCTCATGGTGTCAGAGCATGCTGGAAGGCGGCTCCAGTCAATTAAGCTGTGGAGAGAGCATTGTAAATGATCCCAGTCTCTCACCTGGGGGATTCTTTCCTCATTCATGGGTTTGTTACAGCCGCTAGTTCAACACGTTCACAAGCTTCAGTTTTTAATGCATAGCAAGAAGTATCTGCAGCTGGATTAGATATCTTTTAAAGTGGTGTCTGCCACCGCTAAAGTTATTGACTGTTGCCTCTTTAAACTCCAATCTCTCCAGCTGAAAAATTGAGCAAATACAGCCACTAAAAGCTACTTCATAGGGGAGTCTTGAAAGAGACTCAGTGAAAGAGGTTTTTCAAAGACATTTTGGGAAGCAAGCACTCTTTTCTCTCTGACTTCTTCTAGTGGGAGTATGTAGACATTCATGCCCTGAGGTGATCCAGTATATCTGACCCTTGGTTCTTGTGAAGGGCTTGGAGGGAGTCGGATTAGGCATAGAGGCAGGGCAGGTGGGTGTCCAGTGTTGGGCACTGGTATTAGTGGAAATAAACAAGAGACAGAAGGAGTCTCTCCAGTTGTTATCACTTGTCTGTTGCTTTTCTAGGTGTGCCCTACTTTACTGTGGAACCTGAGGATGTGTTCGTGTCCCCTAATGCCCCATTTCATATGGCCTGTGCTGCTGTTGGTCCCCCTGAACCAGTGACAATTGTCTGGTGGATGGGAGACTCTAGAGTGGGGCCTCCAGACATCTCCCCCTCCATCTTAAATGTGTCAGGTAAGGCTGCTGCCAATGCAGGGGATCACGTTGAGCATCAGAAGAGGAGGAGAGCTCTCTTCTGATCATGCCTAGTGACACTGGGTAGCCACATAGTGTGAGAATGGTTTTTGTACATTGAGGGCTGAGAGATCGTGATCACGTACAAAGCCAGATCATCTTGAGGGGCGGTTGCTGCTCTGTGTATTTTCTGCTGGCTTGAGGCATGCAGGCTCTTCAGAGCTTGGGTGGGGCTGGCACTGTGGTAAAGATGCTACTGGACAGATCATGCACTGGGTGCCTCTTTTGTTCCACCTCATGGAGGGTCTTGATGGTTATATTAAGTGACTCTCTTGGTGACATTTGGCTTGGAAATCTCCAAGCGTTTGCATGTAACAGATGCCACCTCTTCCTTCTCTGCACAGCCATGTTATGCACTGCTTTCCCCTCTCTTACCCCCCTCTTTGTTCTTGCAAGCTTGCTGGATGCTCTTACTGTTAAAACCTGACCACCTCATGTAATTGTTTGACACTTTTAGAGTGGTTGTATTGGTGCTGAAGTGGGCTGGTTGATATCCTCAGAGACCAAGATTTGCCCCAGAGCAGGCACTAGGTGCATGGTGATAAGACTGCCTTCCCCAGCAGCATCAGCTGAAGAACTCGGGAGCCAGTAGGTATTCAGGTCTCTCTTCAACCCACTTTTAGGGAAGGGGTGATGTATCCCTACCAGGACCTGACCGCGGCTATTCTTGTAGTTACCTCCTAAAGGTAACTTCGTTCTAGTTAGTTGTCCAACAACTTTGTGTTACTTCTTTTCTTTGCTGCTGTTTTATTATTCTCAGTAGCCCTGAGCCAAAGTTGAACTAGCTATTTAGAAAGAAAAGGTTTTACGACTCAGAGTCATCTCTGGGGCCTCTTCATCAGGGTTGATACAGTTACACCCAGGGGGAGTTTCTTTCTGTACATCTTTGGCCATCCTTTGAGCTATCCAATCCTATTAAGCCTTCCCTTAGAACCTAATTTATATGTAAATCAAAACCTGGTTTGTGATTTGCAATGGTTTTATCTGCTCCCTTTCTTACGTAGCCACTCGATGCTGTTCCAAGTTGGAAATGAAAACTGCTCCCTTATGATATAATCTGCATGTTGAAATGGAAACTGAAAAGATTGATAGTTGAGAGGGGAAAGACAATTAAAAAAAAAAGTCTCCCTTCTTCCACTGAACTCATCCCACAGTGCCTCACAAAACTTCTGTCATTGTGGGGCAGTGGCATGGGGGCCTGAAGAAGGGCATCTGCTCCTGGTGATTCTCCAGATGAATTGCTATTATATATATTCATCACCACCACCTTTCTTTGACCCTTTCAGTGTTCTTTGGGATGTCCCTTGGGCAGATCTTGTCTTTGCAACAGAAAAAATATAGCAGGACATAAGCTGCACGGTCAGATTGCCAAAGCATGTCAAAAAAGACAGTTGGTAAGAAAACAAGCATTGCTAGCTAAAGAAAGTATCAAATTCTGAAGAAATTAATAGTACTGACTAGAAAGCAAACATTTAGAAGGTTCAGCAAGCAGTTGGTTTGGTAAAAAGATTGTTGTATTTGGAAAGCAGTGCTGGCAATGGTGCTAGAGAGTAAGGACATCTTGGTTTGTGGTGTGTTTTGTATTTTCCTCAGGGCAGGACTGTGATTGGTCTGTCTCTGGGACATGCCTACCACGTCAGGTGCTGCCCTGCTCTGCTGCCTGGCCTTCAGCCTGCTGGCAGCATTTTCCTCTGGTTCACTAGGATGAGTGGAAGAAGCTAAAATACTTTGCTCTTTCATTTTATAGCAGTCCTTCCTCTCTTCCGCTACACCTTCTTCGCAATGCCATTAATCTCAGGCTTGGGAGATGAATCAAAGACACTGTGCAAGCTGCTCCGTGCAGCTCTGAAGTGTTTTTTCCTCCTAAACTGTATGCCCATAGTGTGCCAATCCTTAACGTTTCTCAGATAGAGCTCTATAAGGCAACTGAGGGCCAAGCCAAGTGAAAGCATATGCTGGACATCTGCAAATCTGTGTCAATTCTGATTAATTGGCAATACCTATATGCATCTCGGAGCAGCTGGACATCCGTATGATGCCGTATTCAGGCCCTGTGGGATGGATGGATGCTCACAGAAGAGAGGGAGCGTGTAATCCTCACTTGCATTGTATCACCCCTGGAAAGTACCTCAGTGCTGATGCAGTAGCATTTTACTTCCACTTCCTTTGCGTGTCTTCAAAAGTCTGATGCAAGGTGAGGGACAGGTGGGCATTAGCTTGAAATCTACAGCATCTGGTTGGAAGTTTGCCTGGGCTTATAGCCCAGTTAGAAGATGGTTGTTGCTCAGGTGGCAGGCTGAGGTCCAGAGCATTGGGTCTTGTAGAAGCACACAGTTCAACATGATCCTTGCTCCAAAGATGCTCACCAGAAAGCAAGAAGTGGACGTCTACCAACTGAGCACTGTGAGCTGCTGTTCTGCCAGATTCATCTTTCTTTTTCAGTGCTTTCTGAAGCTCCTGTGAAAGCTCTTCTACATTGCCACACTCTCTCCATTAAAAATGTGTTTAGCACATTGATTACATTGAAATTTATGTGCCTTTGATTGACACCCAGCTCAGCCCTCCAATTGTCTGTACAGCTTGAGCTGGATGTCACACATAACTGAAATTCTGCTGAAGGTTGAAGCTGGATTATATAGCTGTTTGTGTTTCCTTTCCTTTTCTTGGCTGATCTCCAGGTATTAATCAAAGCACAGTTTTCTCCTGCGAAGCTCACAACATAAAGGGATTGTCTTCATCTCGGACAGCCACTGTTCAAATTAAAGGTGAGAGAGTGCAAGAGAATGGGCAAGGGACTCGGGTTTGCTCTCTGGGGAGGGAAAGTAGGGCTCCTTAATGCAAAGGGCTGTCTCAAAGCTGCCAGCAACCAGCACTGGTTGGAGCTCTCAGCAGTTGAAACAATGCTTTGTGCTCTAACGGCAGTTCCTGCTTGCTATGCAGGGCCGTATCCCAGGCTGTTGAAAATAAACCACATCTGATTCAGGAGTGGAAATCTGATGTCAAATAACAGTTTTTCCTTAAAGGAGAGAGTCAGAGCAGTCAAATTGTTTGTGAGAGATGAAGCTGGATATAAATCTGTAGCTGGGAAAATCTTTCCTTCTTGGAGATAGACGGGTCTTGTTAGAGCTAAAGAGGCCATTATTCATGCTTGCTTCTACTGGCATCATGTTAGATGCTGAAAACAGACAAGGAAGGCGATCACCAGTGGCCAGTAAAGTCTGCTCATCCACCCTGTTTTTATGGATTTTATTTTTTTAATTCTTTGCTCATTCAAAACAAATAATTCCTAGCCTTTGCATGACCAGTTGCTATTTGGAAGTCCCTAAGTTGATGTCATGTTTCCTCTATTCCTCCAGGTGACTGAAATGAGGGTAATCAGAGCAATCAGCTCTTCCCCTCCTCTTCATGTTGAGGTGCTTCTGCATTTGAATTTTCAGTCATGCTTAATGCGCATTAAATGACATGGTTATCAGTTCCAGGAGAGGTGTGTCACAAAAATCGTTTGTTCCAAGTGGTAACTTATTGCTCAGTGCAAATAAGAGCAAGCATTTATGTCTGTATCAGAACTCACAGTTGTATTAGCTAATATTCATTAAAGGATAGCTTAAAATCCAGCTGTAGATCTACTGCTCTTACAGTGTATTTTTCTTCAGGACATTGTGGTTACTGGTATGCCAAGAATGCAGTATGCTGGACTAGTAAGATTTATAACTTAATTTAAAAACGTTTGGAGTTGTTGCCTTAAAGGTTTGTCTACACAGGGGAATTAGTTATTGTGGAATATATCTTCCATGGATATTTTTATCCTGGGATAGAATTTAGTTCATAAAGCTATTATGCTTTAAAAAATCTCATCAAGCTGTAATTTGAAATAGCATTTAGCGTCAACAAGCATTTTCTTTTTATTTTTTTTTTAATGTTAACACAGATTTATTTTTTTTTTAACCATTAATAAGATGATGAGGCAAATGCCTCAGAATTCTTGCATTTCCCAGCAGTTATGTTTAGCCAGAAGTGCTCCATAGGGGTCAATCATCAGCTAATGAATCCACACAACCTCTTTGGGAGGGACATATCACCATCACACACTTGTGCACATGCACACATACACACACACTTTTCAGAGCTGAGGAAGAGCAAGCTTAAGTGATTCAGCAAATGTTGCACCAGTATGTGGCATGTGCTAGAGATAAGAAACAGGTTTTAAATAGCAAGTCCAATGCTGTAGTTGTAAAAGTTCCAACTGTAATACCTCAAAGATATGTCTAAAAGAGTAGTTATAAACTTAGGGAAGTGATGAGGCTCTTCTAAAGAGCAAAAGTTTGGAAGATCTAGTACAGCCCTTGTTAAAATTAAAGCAAAGCTCCTAACAAGGACATCAACAGATAACGTTTATTTAGTCCTTGATCCTATGAACATGTAATCTTCAATGAAATTACTGGGAGTAGTTGTTGTACATGCATGATGAGGGCCTTCCTTTCTTACACAGATCCATCTGCTAATGAGGACTCTCAAGTCTTTCTACAATTTATTAAACAATTTTTCTTCTGTGTTTCCAGAGGCAAATATTTTTACTAGGACATTTACAAACTGTTAACATTTCTTCCTCTTTGCTGCTGTTGTGTTGTTCATTATCTATTCTCTGTAGTGTCCATAATGTGCTGGGTGTACTCCAAGCAGAAAATTACTGTTATTGTAGCCCACAGTCCCCAGCCGTGTACAAAGCCCCATTGTTCCAGCCACTCTACAAGCACAGAGAAAGTTAACTCTCATTATGTTAACACTCAAGGTCCTGTTTTCAGACTGGCTTTGCTCTCCTTAATGTGTGCAGCTAAGACTTTTAGGGTCATATCCCTGTGTTTCAGAGCACAACAGGAAACAGCCACCCAGAGTTTTTTGCCAACGCGTGATGGGGAAATATATCTGTCCCTTCTACAAATTGCTGTTAGGGGAAGGTGCTAGCAAGCCGAACCTCTTCAGTGGCTTTCTCCATTACAGAGTGAATGTGTTAGCAGTTGATTATTTATTCTCACTGGTGGTATAGCCTGTAGTTCCTTTGGGCCTGCCATCCAGAGTTGAAAATTACATGTTGCTAATCCCAAAGGTTATGGGTGTGTTTACAAAAGACTTGAGTTAAGGGCAATGTTTCAATGATACCCAAGTAAGCAGTGAAAGCAAGCTTTTTCCCCCCAAAGAGCTTACAAACCCGAATACCCAACATCAAAAGGGAAAGAAACCAAGATACAGAAAAGTCTAAGTTAACTCACAAAGACCTTTCACTGAAAGGCAAAGAACTCATTGCCCATCTTCCATCCCAGACCCGTGCTCTGCTGCCGCTCCTCCCACCCACGCACACTTCTTATCTAGGTGGCAGCCCTCTCCCCTGAGTCCTGGTAACTTGTTAACCAGACAACAAAGACTTTACAGGGTTAATCCATGGCACCATCTATTCCCTGCCACATTCTATCCTCTAGGCCCTCTGTAGAGACCTGGGAGGGGGCTTTGGTCTAAGTATTTCTCCTGCAAGATGGCCCTGTGGCGATGCTGAAGGCAGTATTGTGGTTGTTCTTGGTGCAGTGAGAGACAAAGGTGCTCTCTGGCTGTGTAGAAGATGCAGCTAGGGGAATCCTGGTTTGCAATTACTTTTCCACTGGATACAGCTCAGAGAGGTGGAAAATTTGGTCTGTAGGCAGAGCCTTTTCCTGAGGACCATTGGGTTTTTGAAAGAGGACTCCTGAGGGTACAATTTGTTGAGGTGCTGCAGGAAAAGGATTACTCATGGCAGCAGCGTAGGATTTTTTTAAATGAGCAAAAGGTCAGGAGAGAGGTTAGTATTCATGAAGCTGGTAATTTTTTTAGGAGTGAGGTGCCTAAATAAAAACAGAGTCTCAGGAGTGAAAAAGAGATGGTGAGGGGTATATTGGGAAGAATAGGAAGTAACTATGTGGAATTACAGTGAGAGGAAAAGAGAAGGCAAAGGGAAACATTGAGGATCCTAAAAGGAAGCCAAAGAGCTCAGGTTAATGCAACAACATACTAGAGGCCCCTGCAGTGATGGAGGTGTCTGGTCAGAGCGAGAGCGGAGGGGCAGCGCTCTGGTGCTGCTCTGTGGTGGTAGGAAGCACAAACATCTGATTAAATGGCCAGTCTGGGAATCCTGATTTTGTTCCTGGCTCTGTCCTTAATTTGTAGTGTGGTATCAGCCACGTAATAGGCACTCCCTTTGCCTCGAATTGCCCCTCTATAAAACAGCGAGTGCTTTCTGAGTTTATTCGTCCCAAGCCTGAAGGAGGCACAGCTTTCAGTCCAGGCTCCATCCCAGGGTGTTTCAGGAGGGGTTTGTAACGGACACCTGGAGGCAGCACGTTCACAGCATGAAGCGGTCTACGGCAAATCCAGCTGCAGGGTATTCGGGTCACTACAGCAAACCACCCTTCGACTGGTGCTGGCAGAGCTGGTTTCGGGGGCTGGACTGAGAATCAGGGGAGGGATTTTAAAGCCCTGATTTGGTTCACAATGTAGGTCCACAGGCAATTGTGTGTGCGGGGCTGGGTCATGCATTACAATGGAGGGGGCAGGGAAGAGGGCTGAGTAGCCAAGGTGCAAACATCACACGCTGGCATTGCTATCAAAGAGATCAACTGCTGCCTGTATGCATCAAGCAAGTACGCGGGACTATTAAAGAATGGACGCCAATAGCTTGTTCAATGTTAAGATAATAGTTTCATTCACAACAGTCAGGGACACTCTCTAAAGATGTGATATTGTACCATTTCTGTTAGTGATTTCATTGCATAATTTCTAGCCTCAAGCCTCTGGTATTTTCATGTGAATACCTGCTCAGTTCTGTGTATACTGAAAGGTCTCTTTGTTTCCTTTATAGCCATGCCTCTCCCACCTCTCAATGTAACTGTAAGCCAAGTCACCAGCAGCAATGCCAGCGTGGTCTGGGTGCCAGGATTTGATGGCCGCGCACCTCTCCACTCTTGCACTCTTCAGGTATGGCCCCTTTGGATCGTCCCCTGCCCTGCATGAAGAATGGGACTCCCCTGAGCCGTGACACTGCTTGAGCCATCTTTTGCTCTCCTAACTGCTTTGTAGCAGTGTTTGAATTCTTATTCCACAGTTTTAAAACATGGAAATGTAACAAGATGCAACTCGGCATAAATAGATGCCGAACAGCAGGGCCAGTTTTGAGCATGAAGTGTCCAGTTGAGAATTTGAGACTGGCCCCATTCTCCCTCCCGTCAGGTTATCACATTGGTTGCTTCCTGGCAGCTACTCCATGCAGAGTTGTACGCTACAGTACATGTGAAGGACGTATCACTCTATGGGAAGTGCCCTTGGGTGGCTGCAGGGTGCTCATGTGTCCTGCTAGTGTGGAGCAGCTGGCCCGTGGTAACTTATTCCAGTACAGTGCAGTGGCCTGTGACTCCCATGCCAGCTCGGCCCTGTGCTTTGTGGTGCCGGAGGAAATGCTGGGATCCAGACATACCATGAGCCCAAGGGATGAGGAGCTTGTAAAGTACAGGATGTAGTACAGGAAAGGTGGGAATGATGGAGGCAGGAGACAGATTGGGCTTTTTGATAGGAAGTCAGTCCTGTTTGCATGTTTCAGAGTAATTTTAAGCCCTGCCTCTAAATCTTGATTGGTTTTCCATTGTCAAAGACCAGTTCTGCACAGAAAATCAAGGGTGGTAATATCCTTTAGCTCTGCTGGGTGCTGAGTACTCAACATCTCTGAAAAATTGGACTGCTTCATTAGGTTTCTGGGAACAATGTTACGTGTCCAACTTCAGGCAGACTTAGTTTCTAGCATTGCACAATTAACTGTAAAATCAGATCAAACAGCTGGTAACCGAGTGTCAAAAAGAAATGATGGTTCCTGAAGCAGGCCATGCAAACACAGCTAGGCACGTTCCCCATGGATTTATCTGCCAGGTGTGAGTATTCTACCTGATTATAGCAGCAATGTGAACTGGAGTGGAATTTCTATGGGATGTTGCCAACTATGTAGAAGAGAATTATAAACACAAGGTATGCTGGAAGCAGCCTAGCTAATTTACTTGCAGTCCTCTTTTTATTTGGGGAGGAAACCAGAGATTTCATGCCCTGATGTTTATTCCCTTTCGTAAGTAAAAGAAACCATCATCTTGTTTTAACTCACTGGCAGAAAGAATGCCTGAATATAGCTGGCCCGATCTCTGGATTTTGTTGCTGCTTCTGTTCTTGTTTACAGTAGAAAATGGTTTTCTTCCTCTGTTTTACAATGTGAGTTATCTCCAGTTGGAACAGCCTGTTCTCTGTGGCTTGCGTGCTGCAATGCTAATCACCCTGGGTTTTGAGTTCCCCCTCTCACTTTTGGCAGGGGTGCAGAGGGTGGGACATGTGGAAAAGAGGCTGAATCAGAGCAGCTCAGTTTCCGTCCACTCAGCAGTCTTTCACCCCTTTTCTAAGCCTTTTCTGTTCTGTTTGGAGAGGACGAAGTTTCTGCGTTTGGATCTGGGAGCAGGGTAATTTGGCAATAACCCTCCACTGACAGAAAGCCGTGCTTCCTCTGTCTTCCACACTGAGAGATTTTGTGAGAGACATTGACCCACATTTCCATGTGAAAACACACACGCTCCTGGCTCCCCACGATTGCACTTCTGCTCGGAGCCTCCCAGAAAGAGAAGGAGGATTGAAACTTGGCTGTGGTTTTCTGGCACTCGGGAACTGCAGCGGGTGCCCCAAGAGCACCATGTTCAGACAGGCAGATTGCTTCTGGGGACAGCGCAGGGACTCGCTGTGTTTACTCACTGTTAACACAAGCCATGTTCCAGGGCATAAAGGGGGCAGATGTAAGAGCCCCAGCTCTTCAGGCTGTTGAACAGAAACACATCATCAAACTGACAGGGTTTTACACAAAAGTCTGCTTATTTTTTCCCTGCTTTGGATGACACTGATAACAACAACAACCTACTTTTCTATTAGGGAAACATGAGATTCTTCCTTTTTATTAGCCAAATAAATCAGTGGGCCAAAAGTGTGCGTGACAATGAACAGAAGGGCAGGGAGAAAGGGAGAAAGACTGCTATATAAAGAATATAAAGTCCACATGAGTGTTTCACTTTTGTCAGTACACCTTGCTTTTACTCCCAGCTTTGCTATTTCATATGCACTTGAGAAGAAAGATAGGCTGAGCCTGGGAGCTATGCAGTGATTTCTGCTATTGTCAGTACAAAAGCAGGAACATTGAACCTGTCTGTGCGTTAAAAGCACACAGTGATACCAGATTTAAATTAACATTCATGTTGCTTAAAAGTTCAGATTTGGAAAAAAAAAAAAAAAAAGAAGGGTTGCAGGAGTGGTAAAAAATTTCTTTTCAGTTTAATTTGAAACAGTTTAGTTGAACCAAGCCACTAGTGTCTACCATGTCTTCAATCCACTACAAAACTGAAAATACACAAAGTTCTGAAAAAGGGAGTTGAGAAAAAGGTGACACTAGGCAACAGAGAAGTTGATCTATCGATTTTCATTGCTCAAATTTAGACAAGCCTCAGAAGCCAGCCACTAACACTCAAAGCAACAAGCACATTTAGTTTTCTTTAAAGGAAATAATAATCAACTGTAGAATTTGTAACATAGGTAAGGAAATGTTTTAAAATATGGAACCAAATTTTCTGCTGCTGGAAAATTGTTGTACTGCCAGAGTTAGGAGAGTGATGTCACTTAAACCAAACAAAGGCATGGCTCATGATTCTTAGTTTGACAACTCCCTTTTCAGTATTTTAAAAACCACTGGTACCATATCTATTCTTACACATTCCTAAAGTAACCACGAAATGGATTCTTATCCCTCTGGACCTGTTAGTTATATGGCTTATGGTAACAGTCTTCTCCATTTCACTCTTGGCACAGGTAGCAGAGTCACCAGATGGCCAGGCGGTCTCCACTGAAGTCACTCCAGTGCCCCCCTTTGCCTACGGCGTGCAAGGTCTGAAGCATTCCACCAACTACAGTGTTCGTGTGCAGTGCAGCAATGAGATGGGCAGCTCCCCTTTCACTGACAGGGTTTATTTCCAGACCCTGGAGCTTGGTAAGCAAATAGCAGACAAGAACAGGAAAGCAGTTCTGAATCTGAAAAAGAGATGATGATAAACTTCATTGAACTCCTCCTTGCTAATTCTGAAATGCAGGAAACGTTACACTGTCAGATTGCTTGTCTACTCTAAGGGTCTCCTAACACAAAACAATAATATGCAGTCAAATGTGGGTTAACAGCAGTGATGCATGATACACAAGTTGATCCAGCCACGGGGCTTCTACATGCTGGGCATATGTCCCACTGGCTCTCTGAGATTCTTGTGGTCTCAGAAAGAAACAAGAGACTCTGACCAATCTTATCTTCTCCACTTGAAGCAAACACAGTGCTAGCGGCTTGCAGAAGTTGTCCTCTCCCCTCACACTCTCTCTTCCGGCTGATCTCAGGAAAGAGGGTGAAACTGTCTTTTCAGCCACTTTCAGTGTGGATAGTGCCTTATTTTCCTGCACAGAGTGATTGTGTTCTGTTCCCTGCTTTCAGCTCCAAGCAGCACCCCACAAAATATCCATGTTATCCAAAGAGATCCTGGTCTGATTTTGGAGTGGGAAGGTGTGGCTCCAGACGTGCTGAGAGAAAATGTCCTGGGATACAGGCTGGAATGGATTCAGGATAATGTAACTCAGGTAACAGATTGAGAGGGGGGCTGGGCCATTGGGCACAGAGTTGGAGAATGCTCATATTAAATTTTCTAGGCATTAGGGTCCCTCATCTGTTATCCATACCAGGGGACTAGATTGCTGGCATTGCTTTTGTGTAAATGGATCTGTTCTGATTTGCCACAGCTCCTCAGTATTTGGCCTCAAGATTTAGGCCCATTTCTCCCTTCCTGGCATATTCAGAATTCCTTCACTTGAATGTTCATCTGCAGACAGACCAGTTCTCTGCCGTTCCTTGTACAACAAGGACAACATAGAGAGAATTCCGTTCGTCTCTGCCTCTTTCTAGTGCTGTCCCAAAGGCAGCTCAGACAGTGCAGGATCTGGGCTTTCTCCCTCCTGTGACTGGGACTTGGCTTTTCAAATCTTAGCAGCAAAGGTGTATTTAACAAGTGAATGAGTTATACTGTAAATCACAGAAAGAAGGTTGCGGATTCTTTTATTTCATTTACAATATGTAGGGAGTTGAAAGGACCCTGTCAGGGTAGAAGGCCTTTCATTTGTTCTTCAGCATTGACCTTTCCCAGATATCTATCTGCCTTTGAAGTTCACAGCATTTCTTACGGCTTCTCGCTTCTTAATATGCATTTAGCGAGTGCTTATTAATGATGAACAAGCCTGTAATAATAGACAGCTAGAGGGAAAAGAGACTTACTTCCTTTTTTACATGACCCATTTCATACTAGGTCAGCGTCATTGACTTTGAATGACAGTATTTTGAGTTCCCGTTGAATTTACATTGTGTCAGTGGTGGCAGCCAAATCTTCATGGGTTTACTGCAAATTATGTGTATGAAGAAGATCCACAAAATTACTGAAAATATGTTGGCCTTGCCATGTGAAAATTGGCCATGAAATTCAGAAGCCACGTGGGATTTGGTCAACAAGTTAAAAGAGGCAGACTCCTCCCTTGGATTAAAACTGTCAGGTGCTTTGCAGTATGCTACTGCATCTTTGTGTTTAAACCACAAGAAGGAGGTGTATCTTTTAATAGCAGAAAAAACCACATTTCTATAGCAACTTTCATGGAAGGACCTGAAAGGAGGAAATCATTAAACCTCATATCTTCCCTATGCCCTGGGAAGCTATTAGGAATTTTTGAGAAGAGAAACCCAAGATGACAGCCCAAGTTAGTGGCAAAACTGAGACTAGGACCCAGGAGTCACAACTCCCATCCCTTGTTATAGCACCCATGAAGTACACAGTAATGTTTTGGTTTAGTTTTAAAGGTGAAGTTTTAGACTAGATTCCTTTTAAGACAGCTTACAGTTTGTTGACATTTGTTCTCAGGGGGAGATGATCGTACAGGATACAAAAGCTAACCTCACAACGTGGAATCCTCTCAAAGACCTGATCATCAGGGTGTGTGTGCTGAACTCTGCAGGATGCGGGCCCTGGAGTGACCTCTTCCTGCTTGAAGCCCAAGAGGTCATGGGTGAGTGTCCACTGCCTTCCCTTCACTTTGAGGAAAAAAGTCAGAAGTGCTGGGACTGCTGTTTTTCTCTGACTCTTCTCCTTTCAGTGCTTACAGCTGACTGAGCCACATGGCTTTATATAACAGCACACTTCATCAAGCAGAGTAGAAATTAAATAATATTTAAAGAGCTGATATAAACAAAACAGCTTCTGGCCACTACTGTGTCTTCTTTAACGGGCTTTTGCTGTGCTGTGGAGAGCAGGGCAAGGGGAGACACAATAGAAAAGGTGCAAATGAAGGTTTGAAGTCCTTCATTTAGGCTTAAGCCATTTACAATAGTAAATGTGACAGAAAACTCCTCTAACATAGGTTCTCTTCTTTGATTTAATTTGAAGCCATTCCTGACTAGTTTCAGTTGAGCCTGATTCAAACCATGGACACATGGGGTTTTGTAATGGTTTTACTGAATTGTTTATATTAAACCAGTTTAACTCTCTCCATGGAAAAGCTGAGCTACTGGTAGAAGAGGGAGATGATGGTACAGAAGCTGTACCATGCAATCTGGACCACGTGGAAGGGTTTGTTGAGGGCAAAGAACATGCATGTGTGGGGTGCATTCCTAGTGATAAAGGGCAGTTAGGCACTGGTTTGCTTGCTGCTTGTATTTCACAGTGAATGGGAAATGGGAGTCAGGCTATGGAGAAGGGCAGGATGTTATATGGGGAGATGGGTAGAAGGGAGAGAAGAATGCTGCTCGTGAAGGAAACTGTGAAACAACTAAGAGGAAGATGTTCAGCATAAAAATACGAATTAGTGATAAGAAGTCAGTGAGGATTGATCGTGCAAAAATACCACAGTCTCCTGAGGTTTTGTTCCCAGCACCTGTGGCAGGACGAGGCAGCAATCTCTAATCTGTGGTGCTGACCCATCTGCTGCTGCTTTCTTCCCAACCCATACGTCTTTTGAGGAATCACATGGACATTGATCCCTCCTGATCCCTCCACACTTAGGGATGGCAGGGGGAACCTAGAGTGCAGTTCCCAAGCAAGCAGGAGGTGGGGGATAGGCGCAGAGTAACCAGGAGAGAACTGTAGCCTTACTTGCAGTAGCGCATCTAATGCTGGTTTTAATGTGCACATTACTCAGAAAGGCCCTTTTGGCAACCCAGTTCTTGTGATGAAGTCAGTCCTGATGGTTATGTGTGAGCACACAGTCACTGTGGGATCAAAGCCCTCAAATTATTTAAAGCAGAATGAAGGGGTGCGGAGGTCCAGAACTGACTCAACTAGAGGTTGGGCATCGGTTACATCAATTTTTTTCTCCTGCTTTTTGTTCAGTTATTTTCTGTGGCACCCAAATACAGAGAAAAGTACCTGAAAGGACTAGAAGATCCCTTTGAAAAATGGCAACACTGGCAAGAAGCCCCAGGGAATGTATAGGGTTTGCATTTTACAAGGAGCTGGAATGGGATAATCCTGAAAGCACAAAATGTTTGCTTGTTTTTATTTACAAACCACTTCAAAAAAGTAGCATCAGGAGTGGTGCTTGTTTTGGCCAAATGCTGTCTGAAAGCACATATTTCTTCACAAGCATAACAGGCTGGAAATAAAGGTTCACTGTGGGAACACTGACAGGCCTTGAACAGCAGAGCTGCAGAAAGACTGCAGTTTTGTTTCAGGCCTGGTAGAAAATATAAGTCGCTTCCTTTCCTAAAATAGCAAACTGGCACTGGTTGCTTTATGTGAGAAATGCCAGGGGTGGTTTCTGACCAGCTCCCAGTGCGGCAGTAAGGATGACTAAGCTTGTATAAACTTTAAGTCGTATTTGTCATCACAGCAGAGCTAGTGGGAGCTCCACCCTGCTTATGCAGAGATCTTGTGCACTATTAACAAAGATTATTTTAATATTTTCAGAAACATTCTCAGTAGAAACCTCGCTCTTTCATTGCAGAGAGGAACAGAGTGGTCTAATAGCTTTTTCCTATCCGTAATCTTCACGATTATGTGCAGGAGAAGACTCTTGGATTACGTTCTTTACACACCTTTGTGATAAAAAACCTGCTACAGAAATAAAAGGGGTTCTCTCATCAAAGGACTCCTAAATATTCATTTAAGCTCATCTAATAATACTGTCTTCTCTCTGCTTTGTGCAGTCTTAAGGCATATGCCAGTTGGAAAAGGGGGGTATGGGAGATGGGAGAGAGACAGAGTTGGGGGAGGAGAGGCAACTCGGCCTTTACTTGGGCTGCAGCCATCCTCTCTAGCTCAGTGGTATAAGTGGGAAGCAATGATCTGTGGGGCAGGAGGAGAAACAGTGAATTTCAACATTCATTTCTATTTCTGACACATTTGCTATAAACTGCGGGATGGGCTTCTGATTCCTAGCAGTTTAGAAACAGGGAGAATAATTTAGTTTTGTTTTCATCCATCCTCCTTTTGGAGGGACCCCCAGGAAAGTGACCTAAATCCCTGCTCTCACACCAGGCCAGCGAGCAGACAGACTAGAAAAACAGGCCGAGAGAGGCTTGCCTCACCACAGGGGAAGGAAACCTTATCGTTAACTATCAGAGAGGATCTTTTACATCAGTGTTGTATATTGTTTCTGCCCTGATTGACAGGAACAGCCCAAGTGATTGGCTTGGGAATTGTGGAGAAGGGTGGAGTTACCTTTTATTGTATTTTCATTCCACTTCTGTTTCTGATCCCTCTCCCTCCTCATAAGCAGCCTTGAAGCCAGGTCAAAAGGTGCAGCAAGAGGGAGTATCATAAAACCCAGAGCCTATAAAGCCTTCTGGGTGGGAAAATGTGAGTCACTGAAGGAGATAAGATGCTGGAAAATAGGTGCTAAAGGTCTGATAATTGTTTCAAGTGGAGAAGTACTAGTATGCTTCCTCCATGGTCCAGAATTCTGTTTCCTTAAGCTCTACCTGTTTATTAGACTAACATTGCTTCTTTGAAAACCTGGATGATAAGGCTCAACAATGTAACTAGTAATCAAGCCTTAGAAGCCTTTTACCTGCCAGGACTCTGCCAGTAAGGATGTCTGACTCCTTTTCACGTACATCTATGCAGGTGTTCATCCAAATCTCAGCCCATTAACCTAACATCGCTTTAAGGACAGGTTTACTTATACTCTCATGACATATAACATAATAGGATTACTTACATCGTCAAAGATGATTCTTCCTTAGCTTCTGGTAAAGCACAGTCAACTGCTGAAGGTGGGCAAGGGAGCATGAAGACGAAGGAAGTGCTTAGGGATCTGTTACCTGTTCTTGTTTGCTCTTAAACAATTTGGAGATATGAAGGCTATCCTAGATTTTAATAAACGCATTCAAATTCACATTTAATCTTTAGTAATTGTATTTGGAGAATAAATCTCTCAGGGAATTGGATTAATTCATCTGTTGTTTGCCAACCATAGATTCTTTTATTCATAACCATATTGCTTATCTTCCTTCCCTGGCAGCTTACTCAGATTGGCAGCATCTCCTTTTCTTCTGTAGACAGTTTGTAGTCAAAAGTATACATATTCTGGGAGCAAATATTAGACCAGAATTGGAACCTGCATGCTGGCTAACTTATTTCTTGACTCGCAAGGCACTTTTTAAAATTCACCTTTTCTTTAGTAGAGAGACATTGAGAGGTTACAACCAACCAACACCATTGGGAAGTTACAGCCAATACCAAGTCCCACGGGGTGCTTCTCTTTGTGGGAGGGGTGAGAAGGGAAATGTAAATATTTTCAAGCAGACTGCCATGAGGCAATTGTCTTTCTCTATTGTCTTTCAAAATGTTATCTGGTTGGCATTCAGGCAGTACTTCATAGCCTGTTCAAGGTTCTGCTGGCTGCCTCAAACAGAACAAGGTGAAACCTGCACAGAAAATGCTCATACTAAGCAACCTTTTTGTCTTGAGACTCCAGTTTAAAGCACCCCAGATCATGAGCTCATGTAAAGCAGTATAATCTGGAGCAGTGCCTTTTACTTTCTTGAGGCTCAAAACTAAGAATAGATTCTGATAACTGGATGCATCTGCTTTGCCTTTGCTGTGTGAAACAGCTAGTTTTTTTGATGATTGACTGAGTAGCTGTTTATGCCAAATTCTAGTGTATAGTGATCCACTGTGTACACCAGGTCCAGCAGCATGGCTTTTCTGTTTAAAAGCAAAAGGAAGAAATATCCCAGTATGGTCTGTTTACCATTGACAGTCTTCTATTTCCTAACTGGTGTTTTCTCCATCATCTCCATCAGGTGGCCAGAGACAACCTCCTTATGGGACTTCCTGGGTTCCTGTGGCATTGGGCATTCTCACAGCTCTGGTCACGGCTGTTGCCCTGGCTCTTATTCTCCTTCGAAAAAGAAGAAAGGAAACTCGGTTTGGGTAAGGGAGATTCTCCTTGTGTTGGTTAGAGAGATCTTTGCTTTCTCCTCCAGTGTGGTTTCTGACTCAGTTATTTTTCGGAAAGCATTGTGGTTTGAGTGCTTTTGGCACTTTCTTTGGATAACTGTTTTTTCACAATTTTGGGGGTGACTCTGGATTAGAGACTAGCAGGAAAGTGCCCTACTTTTTCTTCAAAATGAGAACACCAAAAATAGACTAGAAAAAATGTTATGTCAATAGCTGGGCTTTATTAGAATATGGAAATATAAACTAGATCAAGGTAATTCTATAAGTCCTTAGCACTGCTGCTTAAGAGATTCAAAGAGAAAAGACCCACAGGTGAATCATCTTCTGTGTTCTTATGGGCTGGGCCCTTTATCCCATGCTGGTTTTCAGTCTAGCAGCTGCTTGTAACTTCCTGACTGCCCAGAACCCTCTGGATCCCCAGGAAAGTCTCCTTTCCATCACCGCTGACACTCGGCTGTGGGTTGCTCCCTGCTGCAAGCAAGGTTCCCGTTCTTTTCAGAGTCTCCCAGATGTCTCTCACAGCAGCATCTCTGTTTATGTGACTCTTGCAACCTGCCCCAACCTGCAGCTTCTCTCAGGCACTCAGGATGAGTGATTCCCCTCTTTCGGAAGGCTCCCAACCCCTCTAGGTGCATCAGCAAGGCAGCATAAACCCATTGTTCCTCCTCTCCAGCTACATCCTCTTTAACAAAACAGTCCATAGTATATATATGGCAAGGCGTGAGAAATCATCCATACTGTTCAACACTCCCTTTTGGAAGTGAATGGCCCATGTAATCATGGCCCTGTGTGTCTTTTCTGCCTTCTAGCCATGCCTTTGGCAGTGTGGTTGGCAGAGGGGATCCAGCAGTCCATTTCAGAGCTGCCAGGTCTTTCAACAGGGAGGGCCCAGAGCTCATTGAAGCAACATGTAAGTAAAATGACCTGAGTGATTCTGCCTGAGAAGCTGTGTTCATGCATGTACTATGCTCTTTGTTTTCCCTGAAACTGATGTTTTTGGATCAAGAACATGGGATTAATTTACAAGGAGGCTTAGACACTGTGGATGGCAGAGGTGAAAGGCCAGAACTGCTGTTGCCATACCAATTACATAGCACTTGCTAATTACAGCTACAGTCATTGTGTATATTAGTGTATATTCGCCACTCCCCTGCCCCAGTTTCACACTACAGGGACTCCTTCAACTGTAATTTTATGCAACAGTGAGATAAATATGGCTTAACAGTATTAGCAGTATGCTTTAAACTCAATGTGCTGAGCTGTGCTACAAGCATGAACCAATTGATCAGTCTTGGAAGGCCAGGAATTAGTAACTTCTCAAACAGGAGATTGAGTCCCAAGAATGGACAGAGTTAAGATGATCCATTTCTGTCTCCTGGTTCAGCAAGGGTATGGCTCCATGTAGCAGTGCTGCATGGCTGGGTTAGGATGATGCTCCAGCTGCCTTTGACTTTGCTCCCCTGGGTTTAGAGGTCTCTTCGTTAAATCTAGTGACCATAACTGTTGGACATTATGTTACCCTCTCAGCCAGGTACTGTGAGATTTGTACTGTACTTAAAATAGCCTGAGAAAACTGGCGCAGCTGCATCAACTTAAATGAACCTGTTTGAACCAGTGTCTGTCAGTGTCCCTTCTGATTGGATTTTGTCTTCTCAGTGTTATTTACAATTGTTCTGTATTCCTGTTGCTCTTGGTATGTTTAAGGGTGGTGTTATCACACAGTCTCCCTTTCAGTTCTGTTGGTACGTTTTCTTGTGGTTGAAAGTTATTGGCCTCTTGTCTATGGTGAGGCTAGAGGACATGGAAGGGAACTCTGTCTTTTTCAGGTTTTCCTGCTTACAGTATGGGAATCAGATTGGAGATGGAGATTAGAACAGGTGACTCGATGTTGTGACAGAATATTTAAGTATCCCTTATTTGACTGTTCCTTTGTTTTTTTCCAGTGGAAAGTGTGGGGATCAGTGATGAGCTGAAGACAAAACTCAAAGATGTTCTAATCCAGGAACAGCAGTTCACCTTGGGAAGAATGTTGGGCAAGGGTAAGAACCAAAACTGAACGATGCTTTACATTGAAAGTCCCACTTGTGTTACCTTTACTGTTGAGTAGGGAGAAGCAATTATAAGCAGCCTGTTTTCTCTCCTTCTGCTTGTAGATGGCAATTTAAATGGAATTTTCCTTTCTGCTGGGATAAAACATTTCAAAGGTTTAGCATAACTAAGAGGATATTGGCTAAGCCATTCCTGTAATATGGCTCTATAAGTCATGAACTACAGTCTATGCTCAGCTTTCCAAAGTACTGTTGATTCACTGGTGTGTGAATTTATTTCAGAGATTTAAACAAAGGAATATTCAATTAACCTTCTGCCCTTTCTACTAACAAAGTGGTGCTATAGAATTCCTTCCATTTACATAAGCATGCGTCAAGTATTAAATGGGCTGAGACAATACAGAGACAGAGATGATCTACCTCAAACACTCCAACCCCTCAAAAAAAAACGTTGATTCAGTTTCAGATATCCTCAACGTTTGGGGTGGTTTGACTCCAGATTTTAGTTTGGGGTCTTATAGAGGCACATTTGGAACAGGTACTGAATTTTGCTGACATTTGTCCTCATTAGTTCAGGTCCTTAGGAGCTCTTCTGACTGTGGTTCTCCATCTGGATCTCCCATGCAGGTGCTCCTAACATTTCTCTGAGGTTTTCAGTCAGGAGGGATGGCCAGAGTAAAGGTGGGATGCTTCTCACTTAACTTTAGCTAAAAGATTGGCCCAGAAACTCTGTGTGAAAAGAGGGTTTTGAATTTAGATTTCCCAAATGGCAGGCCAGTGTGCTAACCGTTGAATCATCCTTCCCTACTTCTCAGGCTGAAGGCAATCTCTAGAAATAAGTGAAAACATGTAATGATAAAGCCAATAACTAAGAGAGAAGCATAAGTCAGAGGTCATAAGCAAAAGGAAGCTGAAGTATTCGGCTTCCTTTTTCTTTGTAAGACTAGTTTTATTGCAGTTTTCTTTGACCCTTTCCCACTGGGAGCATTCTTCTGCTCCATCCCTCCCAGAACAAATGCATTTCTTTCAGAGCAGGAAGATGACCTTCCTGCAGAAGTGGTCTCAGAGGGCTTAACAATGCTGAGTAATTAAACAGCTGTGTCATCTGTGAGTGTCAGCTCTTGGCCAGTTTCTGGGATCCTGCTTTAACCCTTCTGGGCTGTCCCCATGACAGGTAAAAAACTGGAAATCAGCTGCAGTGGGGCCCCTGGGGATGGCCTTGGGGGGAGGATGCTAGCTGGCAGGATCTGGTCTGTGTTGTCAGCCCCATTCCCCCAACCCTACACTCAGCGTACAGGTTATAAGATGGCATGACTATTATCTTGGGTTCTGCTGACTCTGCAGCTGAGCTCCATAATACGGAAGCAGTACAAAATGCCTTTACTCCTTCCTATTTTCCTCTTTTGTGGTCAGATCCACTGCTCGTGGTTATTGTGAAATAAGCATGTGCCATACAGTAGTGAAGGACACTGGTGAAAAGCTAGTGGAAAGATAATGCTTTTGGGGTACCTGTCCTGAGTACCACATTTTGCTTCCTTCTTTGCAGTACCAGAGTTCCTCATACTAATGCATTTTGGGTGGGTTAAGCAGTTACAAAATTAGCGAGAGAAAATCTAGAGCCAGATCCAACGCAAAGAGGCTGTTATGCCATGGTATAAAGCCATTCAGGCTAAAATAATTTGAAGAGGGTTTGGCCAGTTGCATTTCCTCTTATCTCCCTTAGAGAACGCACCAGGGTAAACACCTTGTCCTCTGAATTAGCATATCACGCATATACAAGTAGGTGTTCTATGTTTTGTCTGGTCAGCTGTGATTCATAGAAGTCGTTCCCTGAGTTTTGAGATAAGGCCTGATTGTGTCTCAGATGGTTGAGTCCTGGCACCATTACTCAGCTCTGACGGCTGTCAGCACTGAAAGCTTCTTCAGCCAACCCATCCGCTCACTGCCCCAGCTAATAGCTCCGTCTCTGACCAGAGCCTCACTCAGACTCATCCCTCATGATACGGCTTTCCCAGAAATGCCTGCCTAGGATCCCAGCTTACACTCTGACTCTGCATCGTCCATCTGGTAGAGGATTGCTTTCTTTCCCTCTTGTTTTCCGTTGCCTTTTGGACTGCCAGCACAGTGGCCTCTGTCTACTGGTAGTGCTACCTCTTCTAGGCACACGTATGCTGAAAGCTGCTGGCTGGAACTGCAGAATGAAAAATGAAGCTGGTAGCTGCATTTCTTATGGTTATTCAGCTTCTTTGCCAGTGACCCCTGGAGTGAATCTGCTGTGAATCATACTTTCTTCACAAGAAGCTGTTCCCTCACTGCCTGCTCTGGTCATTTCACAGGGGAGTTTGGGTCAGTTCGAGAGGCACTACTGAAGCTAGATGATGGCTCTTTCCAGAAAGTGGCAGTGAAGATGCTGAAAGGTAAGTGGGAGCAGGGCTACCTGAAGTACTTAAGAGAAGAGAGCTTGGAAAGATGAAACGCTATCTGTCCTTTTCTCCAGCAAACATCCCTGATGCTCTTTACTCCTCTCTGAGCTTTCCACTCAGCCACTCTACCCATGTTGTCTTCTATCCCTTTCATGTCAGTCTTTTTGTAGTGGAAGCTCTTCAGGGAAGGACCTATAACACCTTAGTTTACTTGTATAGCACCTAGCACATGGTGAGTGCAACCAAAACCAAGTCATAGCTACATCTTCTTCTGTGTATAGAGGATCTCGTTCAGTTGCTTGATTCAACGCAGCACTACATCATGTGACATAGACAGTTCAGACAGGTCAGCTTTGCCCTAATAATTCAGCAGTGAAAGACAGTATTCCTCCAAGCATATATCCTAGAATAAACAGAAGAGTATCTGGGCTGAATGTAGCGACAAGCTAACTCATCTCAGTCAGGCGTATTTGAGTAAGTAGTCTAACTCCCTTCTGATTCATGATCTGAAGAGTGGGCATAACAAGGGCAACTAACATGTTCATCAGGCAGAAGTCTGTAACAAGAAAAGCAATTAATAGATAGGTATAAGTCAAAGCAAGTATGTGCATGTATGTATGTGTATATATATGTTAACCTATGTTATTTTACCCCCATTGCCTGTAAGGCAAAAATTAGCTGTGACTGACTTAAAGCAGAGTCACGTTTGCTTGTCTCGAGCTGAGTTTGGCTGCCACAGAATACCAGTTTGTATTTACATTAGTGTGAGTTCCATCATTTTCTCTGGTTTCAACAATAATCCTAATCGGTTTGCAAGCTGTTTTGTGTAGTCAGGCTGTCTACCTTCAGGCAACTAACTTGGGAACTGTCACCCTCCAGAGGCACCTTCCTTCCTCCCTCCGTTGACTGTAAAAAGGGAATCTACTTTTGTCTTCTGAATCATATTTAAATTACTTGCCTAAAGCAGATAATGTGAATACGCCCCCACAGGTCTAAATCTGATCTTGCAGCAGGACTGGAGGACTCCCGCTAAATTCAGCAGCAGCAGTGGCGGAATTAGTCCACTGGGCTAATTCTTGATTATATTGATATACTTCCATAACTCTGGAGTAGTAGCAATTAGAAATAATTTACTCCAAATTTATGCTCATGTATGTCACTGCTGAATTTGGTCCAAGCTCTCCAGTAGCGTGGTCATTTAAGAAATCTTAGCTCTAGCACCTTAGAAGATCATGCTAAGAGATGTAAAAGAGATGTAAAAGCTTTGAACTTTCATGCCATCCTTATCAGAGATGAATTGGGGTCTGCCGTGCCAGCCAGGGGCTCCAGGCCATCTCCTCAGTTTCCACATTTTCTTTAATTTTGTGTGATGTCTCCTCTCCCCGACATTGTAGTTTAGGTCCTTTTAGCTAATTAATTCTTACATCTTTAACCCACACATGATTTCCATGGCTTCCAATGAAAGTTGTTACTGAGAAAAGAGCTGCTAATCAGGAGGTCTCTACTCTGCTAAGAATCAATTTACCAGATGTCCCTGATGTGTGTTTACTGCCGCTCATCCCAGGAGAAAGTGTCAGGCTCTGCTTTGTTGTAAACTGGCTCATCTAGCTGTAGATCTGAGAGGATGTGCTGTGCCACAAAGAACAAGCTTCTGATAATCATTATCTGTAAAGTCCCTTGGAGCCACCCACAAAGGAGGAAAACTTACAGTCACTTTTTTCCAGCGGACATCTTCACTTCGACTGACATTGAGGAGTTCTTGCGAGAGGCTGCATGTATGAAGGAGTTTGACCACCCGCACGTCACTAAACTGATCGGTAAGCCAGCACTGCTGCTTGTGGTGCCACAGTGCACCTCCCGATCCTGCACAATCCCACACAGCCTCACATGCTCACCCTCACTGCTGTCCAACAGCAGTGCTAGTGCAGCCACCTCTGTGCTGCCTGGAGGCCTGCATATATCAGCATTGCTCCTTCCCAGGCCTAGAGGGAGTTGGAGTATGCGTAAGTGCTCACAACACTTGCCCTCATACACCGGCAATGAGCATCTCATATTTAAGCTATTTCTTCGGTTCTTGCAAATACCACAGAGAGAGTTTGGCTGGCTGAGGCATGTCTGAACTGCTGTGAAATGTGGACAGGTGGGTTGGTAGACAAATAGAGGGAGGGGAGATTGTGCCTTTCCGAAATACTGGGTAAGAAGCAAGCCATTCATGGGTGGGCACTATGGAACATGAGCAATTTCCAGAATGTGGAGATTGCTGTGCAGACCGTGGGGTTTGGGGCTCTCTGGTCTGGAGCGATCCTAGAAACATTTATAGCCAGTCCTGCAAGGAGAGCTGAGAGCCGCTGGGCACTTAGTACTGCCTCTGAAGTAAACAGGGTTAGAGGTATGTTAACACCTCCTGGCATGAAGACATGCAAAGGAGCTTGGAGCATGGAACCAACCTACCAAAACTGCACATTTTCCTCCAGATTTGTAAGAGAAAGGCACAGCATCCTGTAAGATTCCACTTGGGACTGATCTGTTTGCTAAAACCCCTTTGCTGTGTGTGTCTTCATTAGGAGTCAGTCTACGGAGCCGTCCCAAGGGCCGTCTCCCAATTCCCATGGTGATCCTGCCCTTCATGAAGCATGGAGACCTCCATGCTTTTCTATTGATGTCACGGATTGGGGAAAACCCTTTTGTAAGTCTGTCTTACTGTAGAATTCCTTCTGGGAGGGTATGGATTTTCAGAGAATGTACTCAAATTAGTTCAGGGTTGGTCTCCCACAGGCATTGGCAGATGACCAGATTTTGATACCAGAGGAAGTTGTGGGATGTGATGTTGAAGTGTTGAAGTATTTAATTCCATGCATGTTGAAGAGCAACTCCTCCATTCCATCCCCTCCCTATATCCCCCATCCCTGCTCAGTAATCTAGCAGCAAATCTTGCAGTTTTGCCATACATGCTTGAAAGCTTCCAGGAACAGAACTTAAACTGTTATATCTTTCAGAACTTGCCTGTTCAGACACTCCTCAAGTTCATGATTGACATTGCCAGTGGGATGGAGTACTTGAGCTCAAAAAATTTCATACACAGGGACCTTGCAGCTCGGAACTGCATGTAAGTGACCCATGAGTTTTTAGAGAAGAGAAAGACCAGAATGGGTGAGAGAGGGATGAGAAACCTTTCGCATGACAGAAGTGGGAAGGGATCCTGTCTGAGGATGCTGTTCCTTGCATTTAAGTGACAATAGGCATAGGGGAGCCATGGCCATGGTGGTGGGGGTGTGTGGTGGTGGTGGTGGCGCTGGGGGTAGGGAGCAACTCCTAATGTCCCACTGAGCTTCCAAATAGACCCTATTTATAAGGAACTTTTCCATCATTGGTCTGTGCATGTATTTTCATAGGGTTGATTACAATATATGTTTGTAATTAGTCACTCTAATGGCTGTGTTTCAGCACGGGCTATTTGTTCCGCAATATAATGTAACAAACAGGAGAGAATGGGTTTGGCTGTGTTAGGAGAAAGGAACTTTCTTTGTAGCCTGAAATCTGTATTTCTTGCATCTATTTTGAGAACTTGATTATCACAATATAAGAAATGTAGAATTTCCCTGAAAGCTTTTGAAGAATGGCTTATGTAGAGAATGCCTTTAGAAATAATTGCATGGTGAACACACTGTAGGATCCTACATTGCTGTTCTTGTCCCCAAACTGCTTTGTCTACTTTGAAGGGAAGAAAAGTCCTTTTTTATCCTTTCCCCTCTGCTTCTTCCCTGAGAATGGAGTGAGGAACAACCCATTCTGGCATACAGAACTCTGCCTCTGAACAAAACCATGACAACTGGTAAAATCCGCAATGAGACACAGCTTTCCAAAGGCATTTGAATGTCCAGATGTACAGATAGGAGCCTGATAGTCATAATGAAAAATGATGAGTTAGCCTGCTTTGACATTTATGAGAAACACATACCGATTTCCTATTTTTAAACATTTAAAAAAATACAGACTTCCTTTAGAGGAAGCTGAATGCCTATTTCATCATATCTTCTGGGAAAAGCAGGGAGTCCTTTATGAGACCTGGGAGCTTGAAGTCTTTGTGGGCTATCTACCAACATGCCTAGGTTTAAGGGTGACAGAGCAATTCAGACCATTAACCAGGCCTGGAGAGAAGACCTTGCAGATCTAGTTTGAGCAGTTGTAATAGGCAGTCTAGGCAAGCACCTATGTTTTTTGATTGCTTATACAGGGTGTAGGCCTCAGTGGTAGCAATGAGCACTACAGATGTCCTCTGTCAATCTTGGAAACTGCAGGAAGTTTCTGAGTTCACATTGGCTGATAGAGTAGACCATCTGAGCATGGTCATTTCCTTACTTCCTTAGTCCTAATTATCTCCCTGTTAGTCTCAAGGAACTGATCTGAGACCACTAAACTATTTCACATTGGTCATCAAGCAGATGAAGTCATTATCCTTCTGGGCAATACTTGGTGAACTATATACCTCAGTTCCCTGGCCAGACAGGGACATACCTCTTTCTTGCCTGAGGTAGCCAGTAAATGCTTTTCTCAGTCATTAAAACTTTCCCTTAGGTTGGATGAAAACATGAATGTGAGTGTTGCAGACTTCGGGCTTTCTAAGAAAATCTACAGTGGAGACTACTACCGTCAGGGCTGTGCTTCCAAGCTGCCAGTGAAGTGGCTTGCTCTGGAAAGCCTGGCGGATAATCTGTACACAACACACAGT